ATAATTTCATCAATTTTATTAATCTTCTAAAAGAAACAGATTTTATTGATTTTCTCTAATGTTTTTGAGGTTTTTTAAAATTAATTTCTATCTTATCTTCATTACTTCCTTGCTTCTGCTTGCTTTGGTTTTAGTTGGCTTTTCTTGTTCTAGTGTCTTCCAATGGGTGCTGAAGTCTGAAGTCTGTTTTCAGGAGAAGGACTCAGACACAGTCCCTCCTCCTCACTGGCTGCCAGTTAAGTCAGGGAGGGCTGTGAAAGGCTGGTTATTGTGAATGACTACTTTCCTCCTGTCCTCCTGGGAACACTTCTACTAGGTAGGACCCTGGGCTTGATGGGGCCAGTGCCTGCCCCTTAGGGCGCCACTGTTCGTGGTAATAGTGAGACCTGAAAGTTTTTACTCTCCCTAGTAGATCAGCTTCCTAAAGCTCATTGAAATCTTTGATACCTGCCATGCATGTCTTACAGTCTTTAGTAGTCTCTGTAGAATACAAGAGGGAATGCCACTGGGCAAGACAGGCTTGTGGAGCCCAGGAATAAGGGCAAGGGCTGTGATCAAATTTATCCAGAGACGGGGTTACACCTACCAGAGCCAGATAGCCTGGGTTTGAATTCTGGCTCCACACTTACCAGCTGCTTATCCCTGGGCAGGAGACTCGTCTCTCCATGCCTCAGGCTTTGCATCTGTGAAATGGGGCAATAAGGACACACCCTCCAGAGTCATGGGGAGGATTAATCAGATCAATCTACAGAGAATGCTTAGAGCACAGCCTGGCACCCAGTCCATATGAGTCTGCTGTTGTTATCCTGCCTGCCTCTCCTTGAAATGCCCGTGGGGCTATGGGATCATGTGGGGAAGTGACTGGAGTGTAGGATGGGGAGGTTGATGGGAATGAGCGGCAGCTTCTGCAGTCTCCCTCCTGTGGGTCTGGCCTCCCGGCTCCTTCCCCAGCCCCACCTGGCCCAGCTGAATGACTTCAAGGATTTTACTCAACCCCTCTGTGCCACCGCAAAGGGAGGCCAGTAATAATAATACCTACTTCAAAGGGCTGTGTGGGGGATTAAATACATGATTACAAGTACAGCACTTAGACTAGCCCTTGAGCACAGTCAGTGCTCAACAGATGCTAGCTGGTATCATCACTCTTATTTCAGCTAAGTGGTCTCCATTCACAATGTGTAGCAGACTCGCCCAGAAGCTTCTTCCCAGGTCCCACCTCCAGCAACTCTGACTCAGTTGCTCAGGGGGTAGACCAGGAATCTGCATTTTTACAAGCCCCATAAAAAGAACTGCAATGCCACCAGAAACTCCAGCTTTCCCTGCCCCCTCTTCAGGCCACCTCAGAAACCAGAAGAGGTGCTATATGGTCCTATGTCAAACCTGAACTCCCATTCAGAAAGATACCCTACTTCCCCCCAACCCACCCTCCTTTTAAGGAAATTTATCTTTGGGTTAAAGCTGCAGTCTCTAGTCCTCTATTCCTGTTTAAAATATATATTTCTACCAATATATATATTTTTCTACCAAAATATATATTTTTTCATGATGAATTTCTTTCCTTGGAAAAGTGGTTCTCAAAGAATGGACTAAACTGGCCTACCGCAGACCCTACTGAATCAAGTGCAGGAACCTGCATTTTATGCCTCCACCCATTCTGTTGCCCCCTGGAGTTTGAGGGCCTCCATTTGTGGCTGGGAACCTGGAACCTCCCTAGGAAGTGGGAGGAAGTGGCCTCCCTGATGGCCACCAGAGCACGCTCATGTGCAAAGCCCACTCGGCTTTCAGTGCTGCCTCGGGAAGTTTCTGCCACCTTGTGGCCCTGAACAACGCCTCCCTGGAGCCGTGGATGTCAGCTGGGGCCTCTACTGGGACCTCTAACATTCTCACCCAGTAGATCCAGCCACACCCATCTGTTGTTCCTCCAGCCTGCTGAGCCCTTTCCCACCTCAGGGCCTTTGCCCTGTAGTTCCGCCAGCTCCACCTCCTCCTGCTGGACTCAAATGTCACCTTCCAGAGAGATCTTCCCTATCCCTTGTCCACAGCGTCCTCCCTGCTATTCCCAGTCTCACCCTACTTTCCCCCCTTAACACAATTTGTAATTATCTCATGTATTATTCCATCTTGTTCTGATTCTCTCACCAGACTATAAACTAGTTGAGAAGCAGGATACCTGTTATTGGCTGGAGCCAATCATAGAGCCTGGCACATAGCAGACCCACAGGAAATAATGACTGAATGAATAAATACATTTTTATCCAAGTCAAACTCCTTGAAAGCCAATTACCCAGGAAAACAGAGGCTTTAACCTGGGTCAAAGGGCTCCCCTTAGAAGGTCCACAGAAATCCCGGTACTATGAGCAACATTTTTTTACTAGGTTTTTTGTTTTTTTCTGAACAAACCCAAGTTTCATCACATTTTCAAAATGTCCCCTAAAATGGTAAAGAAAAGGAGATGCTAATGGAGATGAAATTTAGGGTGTCTGGCAGCTCCATCTTCTAAAGAAAACATTTACCACTCTGGGAAGGGCAAGAAAGCATGCCAGGACATTAGCTCATCCTTGTCCTGGCTGGGGTTTCCACAGGCCACCTGGTGTCTCTGGGTCGCTGTCCCCTCATGTGTGGCATGAGGGTAGAGTGAGATCACACAGAGCGCAGGCTGAGCACAGTGGATCAGGAACACCAAATCCTCGTAGGCAGCTGCTTACAGAGGAACAGCGCTCCCCATTTCTCCAGCGCCCTCTGGGAGTACCAAACTCCATCTCCTCTGGGAAGTCTGATTACCCCCTCCCTGTCAACTAGGTCTTCACGGCCCCTCGTATAGCACCCCTTCTCTCCCCCTCATAGCCAGGGTCCACTTCATAATCATATGCTCATAGCTGGGATGGCTGAAGACTGTCCCCCTGGGTACATAAGCACCATGAGGATGAGGATCCTGTCTGGCCGCTTTCCGTCAGATCCCCAGAGCCCATGGTGTCTCTCACTAAGTTAGCACTCAATGACTTTAGCTCCTTTATTTGATTGTCGAATGAACAAGAGCAAAGCCCACCATCTGACCGGACATGTACAAGCGCCCTCCAGGCTCTGGGCCATCACAGCTCTGGCTGCCATTCAGCCCCCGAGTTGCACTTCTTGCCTGTTAGAATTGTCAAAACAGCTGTGCTCTCATTTACAAGTGTGCTCAAGAGGGGTGGCTCCTTGACACGCTGTGCGTCTTCTGTGTCCCAGGCACCATCTCTGGCTTCTCCATATTTGGTGTCCCTCACTCTGCCTGGTTTCCAGGTGAGGAGGCTCAGGCTCAGAGAGGTGAGGACAACAGCAACCGAATTTTTAGTTTTGTGCTGATCCCCTGTAACCCTCACTACAGCCCTGAGTCTGGCTGTTAGCACCCTCTTTTTACAGATCTGGAAACTGAATCTGCCAAGGTGGAGAGCCAGGATTTGCATCCTGGTCTGTGTGACTCAGAAGCTCCCGCTCTTAACCACCATGCGATTATGTATCAAGCTGGTTCCAAATCCAGGGCTCACCCTGAGCAGTGCCTTCCTGCTCCCTTGTCACGCACCAGGATGGGAAAGTCCACCCCCACCCGGCATCATTTCTTTAGACATGGTGGCCCTGAGAACCACAGCCTGTAAGAGGGCAGGAATAACAACCACCTCTCCTGCCCCCAAGTCCATATCTCCAGAGAGCCAAAGACAACAGTGTGTTCCTCCCAACGGTGCCCACTTTTCTCCAGTTTTCTTGACAAAAAATAACAAAATCCCAACTGGTTACACAAGACCAGGAAGACTGGGAAAGTACATTTCAAAGTAACTGATATTCTACAAACATCCCCAAGGGGAGCCTGAACCTGAGAGAGGACCTCAAATCAGGAAAGTCATCACCCTGAACTAATGTTACATGTCTTATGAAACCAGAAGGGACGTGTTCAAGGATGGCCCGAGGGCTTCTGTGACATTTGCAAAGGACCCTGCACATCCCCCACAGCCGGAGAGGACAGTCCAGGGAGTGACAAATGCCTTTGTCTCAGAGCTCACAGATGCTGAACTGTGGGACCCAGACTCCCCAGGCCTGTGTGGCTGCTGGGGAGATGAGGGACAGACTTTAGGAGGTAAGGTCAGAGAGAATACCGGGGGAGCCTGCAGGGCCTGAGAGGCATCGCCTGGAGTTTGGCTTTTGCTCTGTGTGCAGTGGGAAGGCTCGGAGAGTTTTGAACAGAGGCGTGCCACGGTCTGACTTATGTCTTAAAACAATTGCTTGTGCGAGAGATTGTAGGTGGGCAAGGGAAGAAACTGGAAAGCCAGGCAGAACACCCCTGCAATGACTCGGGTCAAGATGATGGTGGCTGAGGAGGCGCTGTTAGACGTGGTCAGATTCTGGAAGTGTTGACAGGATTGCCTGACACATGGTTGTGGGAGATGAAGGAGTCAAGGCAGCTCCAAGGGCTAGGGCCAGAGCAGCTGGATGGATTCTGGTGCCAGTTGTTGAGATGATGAGAATAGGGGGATTTGAACTGAATTTTCTCTAATCCCCAACCCCAGAGAAATGAAGTAAACCTAATGCTTTGGCTTCAAGGTTGTTTGTCCCCCTCCTAAATCCTATCCATAAACCATCCATCCAATCATTCATTCATTCATTCATTCATTTGTATCATTTAACAAAACATCCATTAGTAACTACCATGTTCTAAACATGAGAGGCACTGGTCATGTGAGGATTAATTAAATTCACACCCTGCCCTCCAGAAACTTATCATTTGATGGTGGATAAGCCATCCTCACTCATTCATGTCATTTATTCACTCAATAAACATTTGTGAGCACTTAGTTTTGAGCAAGCAAGCATTGTGGTAGGCATTGCAGATGATCTTGCCCTTAACTGCATTGGGGTATGGGTGGGGACTTGAAAAAACCACATTGTTTTTTCATGTGAAACCTTCATAAGAGTGTATATCAATCATACCTTAATAAAAAATAAAAAATAAAAAAATAAATGAAGTCCTAGTCCACTTGGAGAGCCTGGGATTAGGCATCCTCATTTCATTCATTCATTCACTGAGAGTCACCAACATGCAGCCTGTGCAGGATCTGAAAAAGGACTCTTGCTGGATGACCCAATAGTGGGCTCTACTGGGTGTCTCCAAGCAACGAGGCCTCTCTCTGGATCCTTGACCTCCCCCCAGGGTTCCACCCACTGCCCCTACCAGGCGAGCAAGCCCTGGTGGCAGCTGCCACAGCCCATCACAACACTTCCCCGCAGCATGCTGGGGGCTAACTCTGGTGTCATCCTCCTATAGAAAACCATGAGTCCAACTATCTAGGCAGCCATACCTGCAGCCAGCCACCTAGGTGCCATCTGACCCTTCTAGACACCCACAGGTCCCAGAACCCAAGATGCATCTGCTCTGGAGGCTCCTGATCTTCCTCCACTTGCTGTCCTTGAGCTGGGCACTGCACAGGCAACCCGGGCCTGGCCTGGCCAAGGCCCACGTGGACAGCAAATCAGCTCTGGCAAGAAGTAAGCTAAGCCTGTGCTCTGCCCACTGGCGGGGGGTGGAGGGCAGGTGGCGGGCAGGAGGCATCATCTCGGCCCCACTAGTGGTTTGCCTTGCTTGGGTCCCACCTGTGATTCACTATGTAACCTTCAGTCAGTCCCTTAGCATCTTTGCTTCCTTTTTCCTTAGACTTCAAGTACAGAAAATTGAGATTGAGTTGATCATCATTATCATGAATCATGGCAAAGTCCCTCTTGTGTCTTGTTTTATGTTATTTTGCCCTTTACCTCTTATTCGCACTCCCATCTCCTTCTTCCTTAGTGTGTTTAACTTACGTTTAAATATACCCATCTCCTTGTAAAGCATGCAGTGTTTTGATTTATGTAAGTGGTATTGCCGTATAAATCCTGTGGTTTTTACTGTTTTCACTGAACTCTATGCTGTTGACATGGGTTGATTTGGATGGGCGCAGGGAAGTCCATAAGATTCTTTCACTTCACCACCACTTGGCCATTTCCCTAAGGATAGGCACTTGAGTTGTCTCTAACTCCCCACTATTATAAACTACACTGAGATGAACACCCCCACATGTGTCCCTCCTAGGACCTCTGGGAGAATTTCTCTAGAATGCACCCAGAAGGAGATGGCAGGCGCAAACTCAATTTAACTGAAGACTGCCAGGTTGCTCTCTGGAATGGCTATGCTGTCCTATACCTGCTCCAGTAATAAATGAGTGCACCTCTCTGCCCGTGTTTCCCAGAACAGGAGAGAGTGTCCATCTCTACCAGTCTTCTCAGGCTGCCACAGCAAGGTACCCCAGGCTGGGTGGCTTAAATAACAAACATGTGTTTTCTCACAGTTCTGGAGGCTGGAAGATCAAGATCAAGCGCGCCCACAGGGCTGGTTTCTGGTGAAACCTCTCCTCCTGGCTTACTGGTGGCGACCTTCTTGCTGTGTCCTCACATGACCTTTCCTCTGCGTGTGCACAGAGAGTGTTCTCTGCTGAAATGTTAGGTCACCCAGTTACAAACTTAGTTTGTCTTTCAGTTATTCAGATTTTTAGTTCACATCCCTCAATAGAAATTTAAAGTCCTATAAATGTCTTGAGCATGCTTTGTTAAGTTGATTCCTAGAGAAGTTAAAGTTTTTGTTGCTAAAGTAACTATTACCTAATATTCTATTTTATTTTCTAGATGATACTGCTAGTACAGATGAGAGGAAAGCTGTTAATTTTTTTAAATTAATTGCTATCCAAAAGTCTTACTGACCTCTTATTAGTTCAATAGTGTGTCTTATTTACTCTATTGGGTTTTCTGTATAGACGATTATATCGTGAATGGCGACAGTTTTATCTCTTCTAAACCTTATACTTCTTGTGCCTTTTTATTTTATGGTATAGCTTAGGCCTCATATAGGAATGGGAATATGTCTAGAATTCTCCACTAAGTACACTTTCTGTAGGTTTTTAGAATGTAGTTTTTATCATGTTAAGGAAAGTTTGCTTATATTCCTAGTTTTCTGTATTTTTCTTAATCATAAATCAGTCTTGACCTTTAAAAAATGTTTTTCTGCATTAAAAACTAATTCATTTTTTCCTCTAACCCACTAACATGATACATTGTATTAATAGATGTTGTTATGTTGAACCCATAGCGGCATTTCTGGAATAAATATGAAAGTTTTATAATGTCCTATAATGATATATTTATAATGTACTCGTTTATATTTATAATATACTATTTTTGTAATGTACTATGATGTATTTATGTGTCATACTAAAATATATTGCATAATGTAATATTATATTTTTATAATGTACTATTAGCTATTAGATTTGTTAGTCAATAATACATTTAGGATTTTTGCAAATTTTTATCTCCTTGCCCTGTTCTTAAAACTAGGCAAGCTGTATTAGCTAATAAAGTGAATTTTGCATTCTCTTCTTTTTCTATTTTCTTTCACAATTACCTCTTTATAAAAGTTTGTTATAACTCTTCCCCAAAAAATCAAAGTATAAAGCTTTTGGGGAATGAAGTCTTCAAATACCATTTTGATTTCTTGATGGTTTTAGATTGTCAATGTTTCACATTTCCCCTCATCACAACTTGGCATTTTGTGGTTTGCCAAAAATGCCTCCATTTCATTTAGGTTATCAAATATATTCATATGTACTCATTTCATTTAGGTTATCAAATATATTCATATGTACTCACGGGCCCAGATCCCCTCACCATTACAATCAGTGCAGTTAGAATGCTATTTCATGGTGCTGGTTGTAAGATTTAAATGAAGGAAAGCAAGTGCAAAGTGCATTTTCAACTGTGACTATGTCACTACAACCACCTCTCACTTATCAGTTCAGGTGCTTAGCTGCAAGTATCAGAAAACCCAACTCATTGTTGCTAAACAATTTTTTTTTAATGATTATTTCACATACCTGAATGCAGGGCAAGCTCCACATTTGTTTCAATCATAAGCTCAGAGGTGCTATCCAGAACTAGATTTTGTCCATTTTGTAGCACTGTTTTCATGATGGTTTCATCCTCAGGATGCTGGTTCCCAGAGTGGTAGGAAAATGGTGGCCAGTGGCCATTAGAACTACAGACTTCCTTGTTCCTTTCCAGTAGGAGAAAGGGAAAGAAACCTTCCCCTCAAACAAGAAACATACCATCTTCTGTTAAGCCTGATAGAGCCCACTTGGGTTACATGTCAACTTTGAACCTGAAAAAGTCAACAGGTAATGATGGCTCAGAAAACCAACAACCTCACCTAGACTGGGGATTGGAAAGAGTGCCTGAATCAAAACAGGGTTCAGATGGAAATGATAGGATGGGGGAATGGAAGGATGGATGGAAAGATGGATAGATAGATGGGTATATATTAGATAGATTGGATAGATGGAGGGTGGATGTGAGGAAGGATGGATGGATAGATAGATAAATGGACATACAGATGGAAGATGGATGGAAGGATGGATTAATGGTTAATGGATGAATATTGGTTAGATTGGATAGATGGAAGATGAATGAGAGGTTGGATAGATGGATGAACAGAGAAATGGACAGATATGGACAAACGGATATTGGATTGGCAACTATCAGTGTCTGCTGCTCACAAATTCCCAAGCACTGCTATCATTATTAACCAAGAACTACTAAGAGTTCTAGATATATCTGTAGTTGCACTCTGTCCTTGAAACTATTTGTTTAATATATGTCTCCCTTAATAGGCAGAAAACTGGTTTGCATCTTCAGTGTACACAGCACAGGGGCTAACATCCAATAGAAGCTCAATAAATATTTTTGGATGGATGATCTCAGTCTTCCTCACAAGAATCCTATGAGACGGGTCTTTTTATTGCCTCTATTATATAAATGAGAAAGTAGTAGAGTCAGGATCTGAACCCAGATTATGACTCTAGACACTCTTGCTCATTTGTAGGCAGCAGAAATATGGGGTGCTGAAAGGCAGTCTGGGAGTAGAGGAAGGAAAGTGAGAGAAAACAAGGTTTCTTTCCCTTTCTCTTGCGGGAAAGGCTCTGCCGTAACCCATAGTTCTGAGTGTGGTTCTGTCCACAGAGCAGGTCAAGTCAGTGAAATCAATGTGTCCCGTGGTGAGCTCGGAGGCTGGTCAGAGCTGAGGCTGTTCCCAAACATGAGAGTCTAGAGCCAAGAGAGGCAGGATTTAAGCATGTCCATAGCTTTTAAAATTCTCTTCCCTTTTGGAATTCATTTCTTTACTCTGGTAGCTCCACTCAGTCCTGAAGTTTATTCTGGTCACAGTGTAGGAAAATTTACATTTATTCTCTCCTTATTTGCCCACCTGTTTTTCTCTTCATCTAACTTTTATTGTGATCTTCATTCTGCTAAGCTCTGTGTTCCAGATTCAGAGATACAGCAGTGGGTGAACTTTCAACCATAATATCTCCTTTGAGCAGCTATTGCCTCCCACACCCTCCATAGGTGTCTCTCATCAACCCTGCAGAGTGGAATTTCACAGATGAAGAATATGGATTTTAGTGGAGGGATGGGGGTGACAAGCACCAATCACTGAACAAGAAGTGGATGCACCAGCCCAAAACCTAGACCTTTTGACTTCAAACCCCTCATCTTTTCCATGTCATCATGCAACATCACTGGTCCCTTGTCCTTTTCCAGTTATTGCCCAGGGCCTCATGAAGCACAACATAGAGGACAGAATCCAGAATATCCACGTCCTGGACAGTCTGAATGCCTTGGGGCAGGCGACTCAGGGGATGGTGGGCTGGCTAATCGGGAGCACAGGCCTCCAGCAGCAGCAAGAAAGCAGGTGAGATCCTGAAGCCCATCTCTGACCCTGGGACCCTTTATAAAGCTCTGGGTCAGAGGGCAGAGCTGAGGGGCTGGAGGGACAAGGCAGGTAAAGAGGGAAGGAAGGAAGATTGGAAGAAGGAGATGAAAGGCCCAATACAAGCCTGAATGAGGGGTCATTTCGGGAGGCAGCATGACAGGGTAATTTAAAGTGAAGACTTGGGAGTAAAGGTTTCTGCATTTAAATTCCAGGTCTGCCACCAACCTTGGGGAAATTGCTGGACCGCTCCAGCCTCATATATAACATGGATATCCAGAGCACAGCCATGAACATCTAGGGTGGCGAAGATACCCAGGACTAGAGTCAGACATTTGAACCCCAACTCTATCGTTTGACAGCTGTGTGATTCTGGGCAAGGCATTTGAGCTCTCTGAGCTCTAGCCTTGAGTCCTTAACAGTAAAGTGGGCATAAGGACTGTCCCTGGCCCTGGGAGCTGTTGGGAGCTTTCTGTGCTACACGTAGTAGATGTACAGCCATCAGTAGGTATGATTAACTTGGCAAAACTGGACCTGTTGTGCTCACCTCCATTTTCACTCCTTCCTCTTGAAGGGATACAGCCTCCTCAGCTTCCCAGTCTCACAGCTGCTCAAGGGCAGCACCACTGTTCCAGCCCACTGTGCCCTTGAGCTCCCTTCTCTCTGACTCAAGTCTCTCATTCTCTCCATTTCAATGAGCACCAATCCTCAATTGCAGGGTTTTCCTTGACATGTGCAGACATATTCACCTCCCTGTGTTCATTTCTTAACAATTATTATAACTATTCATTGGGCACCTAGTGTGTACCAGGACATGGGCTGGGTATTTGGAATGCAGTTATAAACAAATGGTTGCCACCTTTCTAGTTAGTGAGATAGGCCACAAAAGTAAATAACTAGTTTCAGGTGGAGGGGTATGTTATGAAGACAAATTTAGCAGGGTAAAGTGTGAGAGTGAGGGGCTGACCAGGAAGACCTTTCTAATGAGGTTACCCCAGGTGGAAACTTGAATGAAGAGAAGTAAGTAAGTGGTGGGAAAGATGTGGGAAGCAGTAAGTGCAAAGGCCCTGAGGTAGGAAAGAGATTGATATGTTTGAGGAAGAAGAAAATTCTTGTGTGGCTAGATAAGCAAGGGAGAGGGTGGTGAGAGATGGGGCCGTGGAGGCCTTAGAGATCATAGTGTGGAATTCTAATTTTATTCCAGAAGCAGTGGGAAACCTCAGAGAATGCTGAAGGATAGGGAAGTGTTAGGACCCTGCTGGGTGCTGTATGGAGAATAGTTTGCAGACAGACCAAGATTATAGCAAGGAATCCAGAGAGAAACTAGAACATCTCCAGGCAAGAAGTGATGGTGTCCTAGACCAGATAAAAGTGACTGGGGTCAAAGATGATAGGTGGGGGCCAAATTCGGGAAATATTTTGCAAGCAGAGCCAAGAAGATTAGTAAATGGATTGAATGTAGAGGTCAGTGATGGACAGAAGTTGAAGACAGCTGCTGGAGTTCAGGCCTGGACACCTGGGCAGATGGTGGGGCTATCTACCAAGAAGGGAGGCTTGGCCTGAGAACAGGCTCAGGTCTGGGTCTGCTGCTCGCCACGGGTTACACACATCTGGTGTGTAGAACTGCTAGGGGCACTCTGCAACAGCTTGCAGCCCAGGACTCCTGCAGGTGGCTCTTGCCCTCAATGCATCTTTGAAAGGATTTGACTCCAAATCCCACTGCCAGGCACTTTTCATAAATAGACCGGCCTTGTTTGTCAGCCTAAGGCCTTGACATCCAAGGCCCCTCGCCCTGATGGGTTCTCCGCTCTTTATTTGTATAGCGCCAACATCACCAACATTCAGCTGGATTACGGCGGGATCCGGATGTCTTTCCATCAGGAGTGGTTCTTGGCAAATATCTCACTTGAATTTGACATTGACTTTAGACTGTGAGTCATACAGAAGAGGGGTCTGAGAGGCACTGTTCCTCCTCAGTGGGAACCTGGGAGCTGAGAGGAATTTGGCAACCTAGGGAACCCCGATCCTTCTGACTCCAACCTAGTTTCAAATCCTGGTTTCCAAACTCACTTGCTGTGTGACCCAGGGAAGTCCCTTCCCATCTCAGAGACTTGGTTTCTTCAGCTGAAATGTGGATGGCTATCACTGGTCAGTGGAGGCAGGTCATCTGCTCATTCAAACCTGTGTGAATTAACTACACAGATTTTTTAAAAGAGAAACACCTTAATTATCTCATAACCCTTCCCTCCTCCTATGCAAACTATCCTTTAACATCTGCTGCCCCCAAGGAAAGGGAGGCCATAGCTAAAGGGTAAAGATTTTTTAAATAAAATTAACTCTCAACTTCTGAATGTCCAAAGACCCCTAATCTAATCTATTTAAAGGATTTTCAGAGCCACTCTAATAGTGGTTTTCTCCTTAATCACTGCCTGCAGGATTTAACATGCAGGCAACCTGGAGCACCGCCAGGCTGGTTTACTGTAACAATCACTCTAGCGTTGGCTGCTTCCACCTCCTTCTCCTCCTCCTCCATCTCCTGCCCTTTCCTGCCTTCCTCCTCCTGTCTCGTCCCCAGGCCCTTCGATAACAAAATTGTGAAGACGCATGCATGCATGATCCTCATTGTGGAGTTCTGGCTGGAGAAAGATGAGTTTGGCCGGAGGGAGCTGGTGATAGGCAATTGCCTCGTGGAGCCCAGCAGCTTCCACACAACAGTCTTAACCGAGTAAGGTTCCAACTGCCCCTTCCCAGGGCTGAGCCCCTTCACGACCAGTCCCACCACCTCCGGAATGAGCCCAAAACAGATATCTCCCTTTCCCCAGGATCTGCTCCTTACCCCAAATGCCCATCCCTGTGATGGCCCTGCCACCCACCCAGAAGCCAGATGTCCTTCTCCTCACTGTCCGCAGCCCATCTTCACTGGCCCCCACTGATGACCTCCGGGCAGCCCTCACTAGCTCCCTTTCTCTCCATCCCCACAGTGGCTGCCCTGCCCTGCCTCACAGTCCACTTCCTGGGCCACTGTGGGATCCTCCTCCAGCTTTCCCTGACTCAGACCTCTCTTCCTTCACTTCATTCTCTTCCTGTAGCAGAAATAACTTCCTAGCACAGAAATCTGGTCATGTCCCCAGCCCTTGCTCCAAACTTCCCAATGGTTCTCCAATGCCCTCTGGATGAAGAGCAAACTCCGGGATGTCACTCAAGACCCTATTTGTCCTCTCCCCTGCCCCCCTCTGCAGCCCTCGGCCCTCTAGTTTCTCTAAAGGACCTACCTCTCCATCAACAGACCATATATTTTCACTCCACCGTGCCTTTGCACGTGCTAATCCTTTTACCTGGAATGTCCTTCCCTTCTCTAAAGCTCCTCTTCTTCACTTACTCATTCAACAAATATTTACGGATAACCTATTATGTGCTTGATGCTAGTGAACAGGACATAAAAATCAGAGCTATTTATACAATGTATTTATTAATAGAGTGTAAAATAGTTCTATACAGTGGTTGATCAAATCTGTCAACCTCGCAAACTGTGAGTCCCTCAAGGGCAAGATTTGTGTCTGATTTCCATCTGTAATTCCAGAAATCTAAAAGCGAAGTCCTCCATGGATGCCCATTCATTTATTCGTCAGACCTTCACTGAATGCCTAGATCATGCCAGACACTCACGGAGAGGACAGTGCAGGGGGGGACTCTGGACTCCAGAGCTTTGCTGACTTGGTTCTAGTTTAACCGGCAGTTATGAGCTACATCACCATGAACAAGTCCCATCACCTGTCAGAATTGCTGCTTTTGACTATTTCTAACAACAGTGCCTCTTACATAGGGCGAGCTGAGCACATAGCACCTAACGTTGGTATTGCCTGTATTTACCTGTTCTGTGCATCTACCTCTCTTTCTAGAAACATCCCACAAAAGATGAAACCTTTTCTCCATAACCTCAGAGAGAACCTGAGAAAAGTCCTCCCATACCTGATAGAAAGTCAGGTAAGTCTGAGAAAAAATATTTTCACTTTGGTCCTCCTCCAGTCTGAGGTTCAGGGCATATGTACTGGCAGTTTAACAGTTTCACACTTTGGGCTTTAGAACCTGAAAGATCTCAATTGAAATTTTCAATTTTGCCAGCTAATGGCTGTGCTCTTGCCAGCTAATGACTTAGTCTCCCTGAGCCTCAGTTTCCCTGTTTGTAGCACGGGAAACATCACAGTCCCTGACTCATGGAGTTGTCATGAGACTTCAGAGGCAAAACCTGGAAGTGCTGTGCACGGCATGTAGCTGGCATGCAATACAAGGAAGCTAAGCCATTCTTGCCACAATTCCTTGGAGAGATCCAGTGGAGTCTAAGCTTCCAGCCACAGGCTCTCTAGTTGTCTTTTCCCAGTCCCTGGTTTGACCCTTTTCTCTGTACTGGTGGCCCAGGTATGTCCTCTGGTCGGTGAAATCCTCAGACAGTTGGATGTAAAACTGTTGAAAAGCCTCATAGGTGAGTGTCTACATCCATCCAGGGAGAAGGACTCAGGACTGGCAAATGTCTACAAGAGGTGCCCCCCACTGGAGCTCCCATTGAGGCCTGCTGAGAGGTGTCTGTCCATGCTCTAAGAACCATTACTGCCCCCATGAGGGCTGGGACAACACAGGCGCTCAGCCCAAGCAGGCTGTGCCCCACCAAGTCAACCAGACCTCTAGGTTACCAGAGACCACAGCTACTTCCAAGACCTCCCCTCAGTACTTTAGGAAGCACTAGTCCCACCCCAAACCCTAGACCAACACCACTCCCGTTGCAGAAAAATAGACACAGTCCCCCCCTTCATGGAGCTCATAGTCTGGTGAATGGAAGAAAACAAGTAGCAAATAATTAGATGTTATTTGAGAAGAGTTTTAATGGGAATGCTCCTGACACCAGCCCTTGGTCAGCATGGATGGGTGAGAGTCCCCTGCAGTGTGGGCATGGGGCTAGAGTGGGGTGCAAGCTGGGGATGGGTGCTGCCTCTTCTCTTACAGAACAGGCTGCTGCTCAACAACTCGACCAACTGTGAAGCCAGCCACCCCTTCCCCACACCAAGCTGGAGTGTCTCCAGCTGCCTACTGATGATGGGAAAGGGATTCCACAACTTAGAGCCTTCAGTCTCCCTCACAGTGGGGCTTCCTCTGCCCTAAAGACCCTTCCCAGAGGCCCTATGGATGTCCTCCCTGATAATAAACTCTAGCTCTGAAGGGGGCACAGGTCCCCCTGCCTGAGCCCTGAGGTTTGGGTTACAGAAGTCAGACCTGGTGAAGGTCCTTCCTGAGACTAAATATACCTGGGTTTGCTCATCAGCCTAGAAATAGCAGAGAAAACACTCTTTCTTTCCTATATTCTGCAGCCAGAAGCCCATCTATGGATTTGCTCATCAATGCAGGGAAGGTCCTCTTGAAATTTCCCATTCCCTTATTCATGCAACCCATATTTACTGAGCACCTACTATGTGCCAAGCACTTTGCTGAGCTTCAAGGGAGTGCAGAGAAAGGGTGAGAGAGTGGAAAAACATAAATAGTGGTGCCAAACAGATCTGAGTTCAAATGTGACTGGGCCCAACGAGAAGCTCCATGAGGGTACAGACCATGTGCATTAGGGTGACTGATGATCCCCCAGCCCCCCAGCCTAGGGCTGGCTGAGTGTGAGCTCAGCAAACATCTAAGGTTAAATGAGTGGATGGATCCTAGTCTTCTGTTTGGGACAAGGCACTTTACATTTTGGTCTTCCTCACCTGAAAAGTGGGAAGAGGAATCTTACAGGACAGGGAATAACAGGAGCCTTCACACTGCGGGTGGGAGGTAAGTTGTACCATCACTTTATAAAACTGGGTGGCAGCCTCTCCTAAAGCGCAACATCTGCCTGCCCTACAACCCAGCAATCACATGCCCGGTTACACACAACAGAAGTACACGCGAGTGCACATCACAGGGCATGTACAAGAATGCTCACTGCCACAACGGTTGTAATAACACCCAAACCAAAAACCCCCTAAATGTCCATCAAAAGAATGAGTAAATATCTGGATATCTGGTGAGGTAGTCACCTTGCAGAACGCTCTACAGTGATGAAAATGACCTACAACTATACAACCACGTGGACGGATTTCATGCACATCATAAAGCCTGACGCAAAAGATCACGTTGCATGTCCCATTTATACAAGGCTTAAAAGCAGCAAAATGAGTCCATGCTATCAGAGGTCAGCACAGCAGTGACCCTTGGGGAGAAGGTTAGTGACCAGGAAGCTCTCAAGGGGGCTTCTGGAGAGCTGGTAATGTTCTGCTTCTCGTTCTGGGTGTTGGTTGTGAGGAGGGTGCTTAGTGTGTGAAAATTCATTGAGCTGATTGTGTATGTGCATTTTTCTTACGTACGTTATACTTTAACAAAATATTTTTAACCAGAAAATATTTACCATGCAGGATGTTTATAGGAGTATGTGAAAAAATATTTGTCATGTGTTTACATTGTGCTAGGTCCATGGGAAATGCTTATTGAAAGTCACTTAATTCTTTTGATTAATATCTTATTTGATAATAAAACATTTTATTATTTTAATAAAATAATTATTTGACTAACAAGCATTCAATTCTTAAATATTGATTCTTGCCCTCCTCCACCCAAGGGGAGGGAAAGCATACTGAGAAATCATGGGGAAATAACACACATACATATTAATAATAGTAACACACACATATAAGCACTTGGCATGTGCCAAGCTTGGTGCTCAGAGCTTACATTCAGCCTCTCATCGAGTCCTCACGGCAACCCCATGAGGAACAAAACTGCTATCCTATTTAATGCACAAGGATACTGAGTCTCAGAGAGGGAAGGCCACGGCCCACCGTCACACAGCAAGGAAATGACTAAGTCGGCTGCACTCAGGCAGCCAGATTCTAGAGCCCACACTCCTGACCACTGTGAGTCCCACCTCTAGTCTTCCCTCCCTCCCTTCGAACATACCCCACCCACTGACACACACACAATGGGGGGAAAATGATGAAATATGCAGTCAGCTGGTTTGGCAAGCTCAAACAAGGAAGTGTCACCAGCTCAGAGATGAGACTAGGGCAACGGAGCGGCCCATCTCCATCCTTCAATGCAGACTCCTTAATCTGAAATGCTTCGCTGGGGATTTGCAACCCTAAACACCCACATTCACACAGAGGATTCCCCTTGACAGCCTTCAGTTTGTGGGCTTTTTCCTGCTCATGATTCAAAAAGCAAACATGGAGGGGGTGTGGGCAGGTGGGGGGAGCGTCCTCCAGCAAGGCCCCTGGGCCCGTGGTGAAGGCAGCTTTTGTCTGCCTTCCTCCTGACCCTTGGTGGGGAGGAAGGGTGGCTCAGGAGCCTTCTTGGGTTTCTCACATTCTGTTTTCTTTACATTTTAAGGATCACAGACCATGGACTCACATGTTTCTCCTGGAAATGCTTGTTGCACAATAGACCTCTATTATGTTACCGGGGTCCAGAATAAGGGGTAATTTAAGCAGAAATTCAGCCCCAAGTGCTGAAAAGCTTGTTCCAGCCCCTACCATCTGTACCCTGTAGCTTCCATGCCTTTCTAGAGTTCTGATTCCATGCCAGGTAGTAGGCAGCAAGTTACCTATTTCCCCATTTAAACCTCAACACAGCCCTGGGAGCTCCATGTTCTAACCGAGGAAACTGAGGCTGCAAGAGGGGAAGCACTTTGCCCAGAGTCCCTGGCGGAGCCGGGCTTGGAACTCAGAGTGGTCTGATTGCTCAGGAGTGGGGAAGCTCCAGAGAACATGAGCAGGTGCTTTCAGAACTGACGATTCTGCGACACAAACTTGCTGTTGGAGTTGAGAGCACAAGCCAGACAGCCCCAGATGACAGTCTGACACCTTTTCCTAGCTGAGGTGTCAGGCAGCTACAGTGACATGCAGGTCAATGTCCTCCCTGAGCCTCAGTGTCCCCACAGGGAAGATGTCTCATGTCCCATAGAAAGTTATTATTATTAGCTATAAATGTAAGAGGGAAGATTGATCTCCAAGAGAAGTAGAACTTGTCTTAAGCAACCTGCTTAAGAAAATATATTTTCTCATCAAAGTCGGGGCACCGAGGTCTCCTTGAACCCTTTTGACTCTGCCCCTCAACAAAACCACTGGGGTTTCCAAGGCCATCTGAAGACCCCGCTCACACTCAGCCTCCCACCTGAACTTGCTTCCTCCTGACCCTTGGAACAGAACCCGCATCCTCCTCCCAAGTTCTGGAGAATAGACCTTGTCCCTTGGTAGGTCAAAGCCCCTTGAAAAATAAAATTAATTCTGCCATTTGAAAATGGTCCTCTTGATTCACAAATGAACAGTAAAGGCTCCACAATCACAATCTGACATGTAGGAAGGAATGTCCTTCCACATTTCCTGATGCCCCATGACCCTCGCCCTGCTCAGGAGCAGTGGAACATGCAGCTCCTGTGGTTTAATGGAAGGTTGACTTGAGCAGCAACAGAAAGAAGTCTTTTGAGTTTCCCAAGCCTGGGTCTTGGGTAGATGGCAGTGACAGAGAACAGGTCAGTGGTCTCAGTGGGTGGCCAGAAGGAGTGACTATAAAAGGACAGTATGAGGGTGTTTTGGGGGTGATGGAACTGATCTTTATCCTGATTAATTTTTTAAGCCTGGGCTTTTCCATTTTAAGAGCATAGGAGACATCAAGATCAGCATGTATGTGATAAATTGAAGCAAGATTATCTATCTGCCCTCAAGACTAGGAAATTCCCCATGTTGGGTTGGTGGAGAGTAAGAGTCCAAGAGACGCTGACGAGAGCATCGTTCTGGGGCTCCTGAAAAGGGTCTCGTGCCCTTGTTGCTCCCCAGGCAAATCCTGGCATAGGAGGGGAACAACGGAAACCCGTCAGTGAGCAGGATTCAAGGACAGAGGGTGTCTGTGACCATGTTTCCTTGACAGCCACATGTGGCAAGACTCCAAACAATGCTGGGCCCAACGTACAGCAAGAGCTCAGCAAGCGTTAGCTGTCGACACTGCTTTACTGCTATGTTTTTCCAGTGAGATGAGTTCTAACTCTGCCCCATCCTCTCTGAGTCTTTGGGTACTTGTCTCCACTGGGCTTCAGTTTCCACCTCTTTAAAGGAGGAGCAGCAACCCCTCACACCAGGGCTCTGATGAGGATGTACAGACCCCAGCACATGACTGTCAAGCAACAGGGACTCAGAAAACAAGGACCCAAGTGTAGTGAAACCAGAGGCAGGTTGACTCTTTAACACTTTGGGAACAAGACTCCTCCAACTGGAGAAAAAGGACGGCACCAAGAATGGAAAGGGGCCTAGCTATGAGACCAGGGCCCCTTCTTGGGCTCCAGCAGGTTGCCTCTCCTGGTGTTCCAAATCTGATCTGCCAGCCCACCTTGGAGTGTGGGTTCCCAGCCTCAGCCCCACTCATGAAACCGTGAAATGTTAACATCCCATCTCAAGTGTTTCTGTTTAACTTGTCAATCAAATGGCTTAGCTTTGCCACCTACTAATGTGATTGACAATTATTTATTTTGGAGAGCCCTGAAAGGCACCACCAGGTTGCAGATGTCTGAATCATCTAGAAACCCATCGTCTGATCATGTATTTCCTGACTCCCACGCTATAAAAGAGGCTGCCTCCTTGGCAGAAGCAAGCAGGAGAGGGAGGAGGAGACAGGACAGCTGCCACGACCTGCGAAGCCAGGTGAGACTGGCCCATTCTGCTCGCGCTCCCTGTCCTGGGCGTCAGGGCTGCCAGGCTCCTGACGGGGGGGCAGGGGCTGGTTGACTGCATGTAGGATCCCTCATTGGAGGTCTTTTAAGAGAAACAGGGCTGGCCATTTTAGGGGGGCGTGGGGATGGCCGTTCACTCTGCTTCCCTAAGAAAGCAATACTATAGATGTAGAATCGTTCAAAAGTAGAAGCAGGAATCTGATGGTGATGGGGAGCACGGACTGCAGGTGTGCACTGCTGAGACTCCGTGGTAGGGCTGCTTCCCAAGCATGCTACTCAAACCCTAAACCAAAATCTCTG